CTTGTGTCCTAGTCACATTATATTGCAATATATTAAGACCCCAACCAAAATCCAGTCCGTAAGGTGTTAATGTAAGATGTTTATTGTTGCAATTTATTTAGCATAATGATCACATTAAAATGTCCCAATATACAAACTGTTGAAGTCTAAAGTCACAAAAAATACAAACTAAGGTGTATGAACAAAGTTATAAAAATATTGCTTAAAAACAAAGTTCCACATCTTTAACATTGGGCCAAAAAAGGAAAAAAAGAGAGAAAGAGAAAGAGTGCATATGCAAAACATCACATTTCAAGAGCAGCCCTGACCAGTCTGGCTGCCTCACCAGTGAGATTACTAGGCAACTTGGGTGTGACCATCATGGCAACACAGCATTTCATTATGGGACTGGCTAATTTACATGAAACTATAAGTGAAACAATTTTTTTTCTTTCAAAATGAAGCATCCAAGTGAAACAGATGAAGCTAAGAATACATACCAAATTTTAGCTGGCTGTTAGTAGAAAATTTTAACAATTTCATAAGTTCAAAAAGAAAACATATTTGGAAAAAAATAAATTTCAAACAAAATAAACATAACCAAATGGAAATAAAAGTGAAATAAATCAATGTCAATCATCAAGTGTGAAAGTGTGCAACAGAGTTGTACCCAGACTTCTCCACCCACCTGTCACTTACTTAGACAAGCTACACAGACTAGTTAGAAACAACAGAAAGATATCAAACATGATTTTGAAAAGTCAATACTACCAGTTTTGAAAAGGTCTCAGTCAAAAAACCCCAAAACGACATATTAAACAACTGTACACCAAAGGGAAAGAGTTGTGTTTTATTTGATGGTGTGCTCTCTTACGGTAAGAGTTTTCATATTTTATCAACTGCTTAGAAGATAAACATAACCTTTTCCCTCTACAATGTACCTCCCTCATGTGTCTTCTGTCTAGAACCCATAGAAGAAATTCTTGGCAGAGAAACTGGCCCCTTCTAATCCTTGTAGAATAAGGAATGCTTCCTAAATTCCAGAAGTCACTGTAGGCACTCAGTTTAAACTTTCATGATATTCTTATCTTACCATCTCAAAAGTAAGGGAGCTGGCAGGTTAGCTCAGTTGGTCAGAGTATGGTGCTGATAACATCAAGGTCTGGGGTTTGATCCCTACACCGGCCAGCCGCCAGCCGCATTCCTCACCCCCAAAAAGTAGCTATTTGAGAGGATCTAAAACAATGTATATCTCAAAATCTTCCTCAGAACATGGTGCCAGTTGTTTCTTTTAACCTGAAGCAGGATCTTGGAGGTTATAAAAACCTGCATAATCAGTAAGAGAATAGAAAATTAAAGAGTACTTCAAATTCCAGATCTTAAACCAGAACTCCTTCAAGATTTCAAAACATGGTCCATGTTTTATATTCTATTTCTAAAAATTCAGTCAAAGCTTATCATTGTAGAAGTTCCACAGTACTTATCTCAAATAGTTCTAGATTTTTGGCTGGCTGGTTAGCTCAGTTGGTTAGAATGTGGTGCTGATAACACCAAAGTCCAGGGGTTGATCTCTATACTGGCCAAATGCCAGAAAAGAAAAAAAGAACTAAAAAAAAAAAAAGATCAAAAGTAAATGGTTCTAGATTTTTTAGCTATTAGTTTGGAAAAATGAGGAACAAGAATAAGAAAGTCCCATTGAGACAATCCTCAGAATGTGTGAATATAAACTCTAACATTCATGGCAAAGGACTTAACACACATCTTCATATGTGATCCGCCAATCCCACTGGCATAATAAGGTACCTCCAGAGTTCAATCCTGAACACAGTTTGCGCCTAATCAGACAATGATTTCATTAGAAATCTGCTAAATTGGTTTTGATTCTTAAAAGTGTTGCGATTTAGTTTCATTCTGGTATCGTTACAGAGAAAGTTATTTTTTATCTATATCAACATCCCAGTATTCTAACAATACAGGATTCAGGAACATTATAACTTAATTTAATTTTCTTTAACTCCCCAATTCTTATTTTGATAGTTGACAATCATGTTCAAAAAGTAACCGGTTATAAAATCCCATACACAATAATGGGGATAAAGTAACCAGTTATAAGATTCCATTCACAATAATGAGGTTGTCAAATTTTCTGGAGAATCTAATCCTAGAAAAATAGATCATAATTTCATAATAAAAACAATTTTGGCCCAACTTATAAATAACAAGGATGATTTAATTTAGAGAAATACTTTTCAAAGTTTAATCAGAGCTACTCTAAATTAGAAAACTTTAAATTAAAATAGCTATCATTATTCAGATTTTAGTAAAGTGGAGAAAAACATAGCCTGAAAGGTTAATCTTCCCTAAAAGCAAGCTTGCAGAGGGAGAGAGGAGGGAAAGGAAAAGGAGATTTGCTGCAGTACTGGTGGCCTCATCAACCCCTTTATGAAAGCACATGTTCTTATTTGGTGTTATAATATCCTGATTCACATTGAAAATTCAAAATCCAAATGAAAAAGCCCAACTAAAAATGTTTAAATTAAAGAAAAGAAAAATGTGAGATTGAATTAAATGATAAAATGAATTTTAAAAGAGAAAAAGAAATAAAAGACATTAGATGACCCTTATATAAAAATTCCAAAATTATAAAGAATTCATCTTGCACTTTGTGCTCACAAAGGGAAATGAGGCTCCATCAAGCCCTGCAGAGCACAAGAAGAAGCAGGTGGTTTGCTCAGGCATCAGCAGAAATAGGCCCCGAAGAACTACCCTCAGCTTCTTCTACATCGTGTCCGGGAAGGAAAAGCAAAGCTCTGCAAAATGCTGAAGGTTTTAGAAGTATAACGGTGCTTAGGAAAGATCACTGGTCTGGTGTTGCAGCAGCCCCAGTGTTGAGAGACACTCTAGGCTTCTAGGAGGAGAAAAGTAGAAAGGGAGGAAGAAGTAGGAGAGGGAAGGAGGGGGCAGAAAAGCACAGATCATTAGTAAACAGCAAGTTCAACATAGCAAGATGCTCATAAACCTTTTTATGCTATTAATGGAACTGGTCTGCTCCCAGGACTATAGATAACGTTCTGAGGAAAACAGAAATGAGAATTTTCAAAATGGCACTGAGCTAGATGCTCCAGTTAGTGATTGTCAAATTAGAATGAAGTCACAACATGCTCCAAAAACATGCACTCTTCACCTCCCCTCCTTACGTCCTCCCTCCCCCAATGAAACATGCATATTTTCAGTGAAGTACCTGTTTTAATAGAGTTAAGAGGTCAAATTCAGAACCCAAACAACCCAGGTGTGCAAACTATTTTCAACCTAAGAGTGGAGAGGTATCTAAAGGCAGAAAGACCTGCTATCATAATGCCACTGGGCAGTTCATAAGAGCTGGATTCTTTTTTGTCACCAAGGAACTAAATGTCTTGAAACAATAAGGGCCAGCCTGCATATTTTTCCTCTTCTTTTTAGGTACCGTTAAGACTTGGCAGTGGGGAGCAACTGCTACATAGAATTAGAGCTTCTTCTGGTCAGATTTGACATCTGCTGGGAAAGAAACCTACTCTAGTTTTAATAGTTATTTCCTTCCTGGATGAAAATGACATTCACTCTTTCAGCTGGCTAATCAAATCTATTCCATCCAGGTTTTCTTTCTCCTGGCACTGTCTCCTGGTTAAAGAAAGCTGAATTTATTCACTTAAAAAAAATGTTTGCATTCAAGTTTCTTCTCCTTTAATCAGGGATATTTGCATAAATGTATTCTTAAAACCAAATCACACAGACGACCTTGCTTTCAAAGCAGGCACAGAAACAGTTGATACCACATATGACCAAAATTATCAGAGAAATACAAAAATGTCAGTTCATAAAAGTGGAAGATAAGGTAGCACTTCTGGTTGTGCCCAGCTTTTAAAGAGTACCTAATTTATGAGTTGCTACTAAGGATGTTAGCATCACTGGGTAAAACTAACATTCACAACAAATAGAACCTATTCATCAATAAATCTGAAGTACAAAAATATATATAACATTTCCTATGGTCACAAAACGAAAGAGTAAATCCTAGAATAACTGCTATTGCTAACAGAAGGCTTTCTGGAAGCCTCAGAAACCGAGAAGTCTTGTGGTGTCTCAAGGAAAGGCTTCTTGTGGCGAGGTATGCACATAAGAGAAACACAGGAACAGTACATGTCCAGTGCTGCCTCCGCAGCAGTAATATGAATCAAATAGTATGCCCCAGTTAAGAGCACACTCTGCTGCAGAAAAAAATGTGCCTGATCATTAGAAGTGAACTCATTTGGGTCAACAGTGTCAGCCTGATCACAACTGCAAATTAAGTGCAGTTATTTATAAAAATTTACCACCTGACTCTCATATCAGCTACTACAATTTATACGGTACATCCCTGTAGACTCCTGCTACTGCTTTGAGAATTCTGCTCACTACAAGGACATGGGGGCAGGTGGTTGGTACTGGTTATGAGATGGGAACCCACAGGAACTCAGAGCTAGCTGATACAACATCAAACCCCTAGTAATGAGCTAGGAGTTACAGTGATAGACAAATTTCAAAAACAACAGTTAAGGTAAAGAAAAAGGAAAAACAGACTGAGGGCAAAAGAGAAAGGAAAGAACTTGTAACTTGTTCCTCAAAAGTTTCCTAACAGGCCATGGAAAGCAAACGAAGTGCAATGTGCATTTAGGGAAGAGACCTGCCTTACAGAGTTGTAGTAGCCAAATGTCTTCCCTGTAACACATTTTGTTGATTACTCCACATCTATAAGAGTATTTTTAAGACTGACCCAGCTTTTGTGTGGTGCAGCTCCAACTAACATTCAAGGAATATCAAAGAAAACTCGTTAGAGATTTTACATGGCAGATGTCCTTGGTTATTTTAAATACACTCAACAAAAACAATAATACCTTCAGAAAGAATTCATATACTTCCACTAACAATCCTCCTCAAAGGAGCTCATCAAGGTTTTACTGTGACTGTTTCACCCTCACATTTGGGGAATCCTGGGAACCACTTACCTGTAGTATCATTTCCTTCTATTCCATGATCACCATTGGCCAGCACTGTTGGTTTAGAAGATGGACTACCTGCAACAATCACAAAGAATATTACCCATTGTGATAGAAAAATAAAAACAAGATCCAACTGCTGTCTTACTAGTAGAATTTTTGTCACTCTTCATAGCATTAACTTAAAGCACTTAAAAACTGTCCAAAATTTAAAGATTCAGTGAAAGAAAACACAAAAACAGAACAGAATGGAGTCATTAATTCCTATACTACCCAGGTTCTGTTAGGTACCACCACTTTAGGAGAGGCCTTCCTAATAGCGAGGCTGTTTTTTTTTTTGTTATATAAATTGTCAAAGATGACCATTAAATTAAAAAAAAACATCATGAAGCACCACAGGCTTAATATCTGTGTTTCAAACCAAATTCTACAAGGACCCAGGGCCATGTAAAAACAACTCCCACACAGGAAATGCAAAGAACCATCATTTCTCCTGGGTGTGGGGATTACATGGAAGTTACCAGCAGCACTTCTGGAAACAGAGGACTACTTCTTTATTTTAGCTTTTCTAACAGAGTATGGTTACATCTCATTCCCTAATGACTAATGATACTGAGCATCTTTTCATGTGTATTTGCCATCCCTTTATCTTTTTTGGTGAACTAAATGGTCAAAGTTTTTGACTATTTTTAAATTGGAGGTTTTTTTTCCTTATTGATTTTTTTTTCCTTTTTGTCTTTTTTCGTGACCGGCAATGGATTGCAACCCTCAGTGTCGCGCCTGTACCGGACCGGGACCGGCAACGGGACTGCAACCCTCGGTGTTGCGCCTACACCTCGCTCAGCCAGTGAGCGGCCAGTCTGCATGTGGGATCCGAACCCTCGGCAGGAGTGCCACCGCGCTCTCAAGCAGCGCACTATAGCAGTGCGCCACCGGGCTGGCCCATCTTCATGATTTTTGAGAATTCTTTATATATTCTAGGTATCAGTCCTTTATCAGATGAGTTTTGTAAATATTTTCTCCCAGTCTTTAACTTGTATTTTCATTTTCTTAACTGTGTCTTTAGAAGAGCCAAAGTTTTTTTTTTTTTTTTTTTTTTGTCCTTTTTGAGACCGGCCACACCGCGCTCAGCCAGTGAGCGCTGTGAGCGTACCGGTCATCCCTATATAGGATCCGAACCCATGGCGGGAGCACTGCTGCTGCGCTCCCAGCGCCGCACTCACCCAAGTGCGCCATGGTCTCGGCCCCAAAGTTTTAAATTCTGATGAAGTCCAATTTATCATATTATCTTTCAAGAATCGTGCTTTTGGTAAGGTATCTAAAAAATATTCATCTTGCCCAAGGTCATAGAATTTTTTCCCATGTTTCCCTCTATAAGCTATAAGTTTTCATATTTAGGTTTCACATTTGAGACCTATGATACATTTGGAGTTAAATTTTGTATGTGGTATAAAATGTGGGTCTAGATTCATATTTTTGAATATGGACATCCAATTGTTCCAGCATCATTTGCTGAAAAGACTATCCTTATTCTATGGAATTGCTTTTGCACCTTTATGGAAAATCAATTGAACATATGTGTGGGTCTATTTCTGGGTTCTCTATTCTGTTCCATTGATCTATAAGTCTATTCATTTTGCCAATACCACACTGTCTTGATTACCGTATTTGTACCATAATCTTGAAATAAGATGTGAGTCCTCCAAGTTGGGTCTTTTCCAAAATTGTTTTGTTTCTTTGCTTTTCCATATAAATTTTAGAATCAGCTGTTGATTTATACAAAAAATCTTTAGGATCTTATTTGCAACTGTATTGAATATACAGACCAGTTGGGGGATGTACAATGTTTTCTGAAAGGCTCTGACTATATCTAATATTTCAGCAACCTGTCTAGCTCGGCAGTCAGTCTGCTGACTCAAGAGTTTCCCACAAATCATTCTCGAGAACCTCACAGAAATATATTTCATAAGACAAGTGAAAATCTAGAGCATTTGGTATTAAAATATAAAATGCAAGATTTTACTTTGGAAGATAAAAAAACAAATGCTGTCCAACCCTCTGGCCCCCACAAACACAAGGTAAAAAATCTTTCTCAACTTCTCAGTGAAAAGATCACTCTGTTATCTCAGAGGAACAACCAAAGACAACAACATAAATGAATAAGGCAGAGCAAAAGGAGAATATCAATCAACTAGAAGAAGAGAGAAATAAAGGAACAAAAGATGACAGACTTTTATTAAAAACCCACTATTTAACACACACCCTACTAAGTCTTCACATATTGTATTTTACTTATTCAGAGAAATGCCAAATATGTTCCACCCCACATTTGGCATAAATAAATTCCCTTTCACCCTCACACAATAAGCTTATAAGATTTATTCTTCCTGGGCCGGCCTGGTGGCGCACTCTGTAGAGTGCGGCACTTGATGTCCTGGTATCTTGCCAGATCAGTACAGGAAGAACTACCCTATTTCTTTTAGTACGGTGTACCATTTTGCAACATAGTGAATCTATTGGTGGATATTTTTATGTCTCTCTGTGAACTAAATACATAAAGTGTGTTGTTGAATGGGCTGGCCCGGTGGTGCACTCGGTAGAGTGCGGCGCTTGGGAGTGCGGCGGCGCTCCCGCCGAGGGTTCGGATCCCATATAGAGACCGGTCCGCTCACTGGTTGAGCGCGGTGCGGGCGCAACACCGAGGGTTGCGATCCCGTTACCGGTCACGAAAAAAGGCAAAAAGGAAGAAAAAAAAAAAAAAAGATTTATTCTTCCTAGCTCAAGGAAGAATGCATCTTTTAAAAAATCTACCTCATTACACAATGCAGATTACAAGAAAATGTAAGTTACAAAAATTGACACCATGAGAGTGGTATGAGAATGGCCATGAGAATGATAAAATCTTTTAAAAATTTGATAACAGCTATTGTTGGCAAAGGTGTAGGAAGATAAGTAATCTCATACAACATCGGGGGAAGGAATATAAATGGAACAACCTTTTCATGAGCCAATTAGAAATAACCACTTAATTCAACAACACACTTTTTTTTTTTCCTTTTGTCTTTTTTCGTGACCGGCAACGGGATCGCAACCCTTGGTGTTGCACCTGCACTGCGCTCAACCAGTGAGCGGACCGGTCTCTATATGGGATCCGAACCCTCGGCGGGAGCGCCGCCGCACTCCCAAGCGCCGCACTCTACCGAGTGCACCACCGGGCCAGCCCATTCAACAACACACTTTATGTATTTAGTTCACAGAGAGACATAAAAATATCCACCAATAGATTCACTATGTTGCAAAATGGTACACCGTACTAAAAGAAATAGGGTAGTTCTTCCTGTACTGATCTGGCAAGATACCAGGACATACTAAGGGAAAAAAAAGCAAAATGTGACATAACAGTATTATGAAAAGAAAACAACACACATATATATATCAGAAAAAAATATAAAAACTTATACCAAATACCACTGGTAATTGCTAAGGAATGGAATGCGGCAGGGGAGAAGACTCTCGCACACATAAAAGTCCTGTTTTAAATGAACGCACTAAAGAATTTTTTTTTTTTTTGCCAGCTGGTTGGTATGGGGATCTGAACCCTTGACCTTGGTGTTACAAGGCTGTGCTTTAACAACTGAGCTAACCCACCAGCCATTAAAGAATTTAAGAATGGATAAAGATAGCAAAATGAGGCACACATGTCAGCCTCAACATACTACCACAAGTAATTAAAAACAGCAGAAAAGATTGAAATCAAGAAGGGTTCCACCCAGTGCACCAGAAATTATGAGAAATATCCAGAAAAATGAAAGTAAATAGGACTACACTGAAGGAGAACCCACAGCCCAACGAAGGAACAGTAAGGCAGGACTCCAGTGAACTCTAAGCTTAGAGGCAGCAGGAGTGTTGGGTATTCCGTTAAAAGCTGCCAGTCTGGTTCCCATTACCCCCATGCATACCTTTCCCTCACTTCTCAAAGTTAGCCTTATGCCAACTCCCAGATGGTAGTGGAGCCTGGATGCTCTGGCACAAGAGGAAGTCACCTCGCCAGGTGACAGGTGATACCCAGAGGATTATCTACTGGCATACCCCACTTGGCAACACCATCACATACCTGCCAGAGGCAGGCAGTAGAAAACAGTCATGCATCATTGGGTACTTTAAACAGTATTGCCAAATAACTGAGGAAAGCTACCCCTCCCCCCCCAAAAGGCATCACATTCAAAGAAAATAAATATCACCCGGGAAAACAATATTGATACAACAAACAGAAGACTTTTTATCTTTTTGTATTTTTATTTTTTTCCTTTTTTTTTTTGTCTTTTTTCGTGACCGGTAACGGGATCGCAACCCTCGGTGTCGCGCCCGCACCGTGCTCAACCAGTGAGCGGACCGGTCTGTATATGGGATCCAAACCCTTGGCGGGAGCGCCGCCACGCTCCCAAGCGCCGCACTCTACCAAGTGCGCCACCGGGCCGGCCCAAACAGAAGACTTTTTAAAAAAAAATACATAATCTCACTCAGAAACATAAGAGAAAGTATGACATATCCATGAAACAAAAGCAAGCCCTAACAAAATGAATTATCTAATGACTGAGTAACAAATCCTTTTGCAAATTAGATGTTTTCCAATTCTTTGTTTTCATCAAAATTGAAAAAGTTTAAATGGAGTTGTCATCTGATAGAAAACCAAAAATAATTTTTGATAATATTGTACTATGGCATTCTTAGCCTATAACTCAAGGTAATGAGAACATTGCCATAATAAAGCTTCCATGCCCGCATACTTAGCTATGTGTATGTTTCTTGGCTACGATGTCTACAAAAATAATAGGGATAAAATTGCTAAATGCTATTTCATCCTAACGAGAAATATTGATCCAGACTGATGATCTAATCAAGAAAAATAACAGACCCCATCATCTCATTAAGAAAAGCATTTCCAATCAAATCCAACTTCTAGGGTTAGCAATACTTATCAAAAATTGTAATGTATGTGATTAACTGTGTACTAATAGTAGTTGTAATGATAAATTTCTTCTGGACCAAGTTAAATTTAGAACCTTATGTTTACAGAA